AAAAACAACCCTCTCCCCACCCACCCCCCAACCCCCCCACAAAAAACAACCAAAAACAAAACTCCTCCACAAACCAGTCTACTCCTTCTTCCTATGGAAGAGGCCTGAAGGACTCCCCCTCGTGAATGCCCAAGGTATTAGCCTAGAGTACAGCACTGTGCCCAGAACTGATCTTGTGTCTGGCATCAGCGTGACGTCACCTGGGCTCTATCTGATCCACAGTCAGGTGCTTGTGGCAGGCAGACAGGCGGGGTAAGTTGTCGTAGTTGTTGTTGTAGTTGTTGTTGTAGTTGTTGTTGTAGTTGTTGTTGTTTTTGTTGATAATGATGTTGGTGTTGTTGTTGTGTGTGTGTGTGGTAGCCTATCCGTTCGAAATGTTCGGAGCCCCGAAGAGTGTGCTCTTCGCCAGGGCCACCGCCTCCCTTGGGTAGCGGGTGAGGCAGTCCAACCTCCCTGTTGTTGTTGTTGTTGGTGTTGTTGTTGTTGTTGTTGTTGATGTTGTTGTTGTTGTTGCTGCTGTTGTTGCTTCTGTTGTTTTTGTTGATAATGATGTTGGTTTTGTTGTTGTTGGTGTTGTTGTTGTTGTTGATGATGATGTTGTTGTTGCTGTTGTTGCTGTTGTTGTTGTTGATAATGATGTTGGTGTTGTTGTTGTTGTTGCTGTTGTTGCTGTTGTTGTTGCTGTTGTTTTTGTTGATAATGATGTTGGTGTTGTTGTTGTTGGTGTTGTTGCTGTTGATGATGGTGTTGTTGGAGTTGTTGTTGTTGTTGTTGCATCCATTTAAAAAGCATCAATTTTAGTTAACCCTATCAGTCACCTTACAGGATAAATCACAGCACAAAAAAAACAGATATCCTCATGGAATCAGATACTGGCAAAGTTGTAATGCTAAATATATTAGAGCTGTCAGCATCTGTTGACACCACTGACCATGTAATGTAATTTTACTAAACATTTTTGTTAAAAAACCGTTTGGAATTCGCATCATGGTTCTGCTCCTGAATGGTTCCACAGCTGTTTTGTCAAATCGCTACCAAATATTTTGTGACCCGAGACCTCAAGTGCCCAAAAAAGAAGTCATTGTAAGTTTGGTATTCCCCCAAGCCACCTTATTTCAACTGATATTGCATGCATCATCTCAGTCTCTTTTGTCTTTTTAAAACTTGACTGTTGCAATTCTGTTCTGTCTGGTATCTCTTGTGAGAATGAGGAAAATGCAAATGGCCCAAAATAACATGACAAGACTAGTATTGAAGAAAAAGAAGAAAGTTCGCGCATTAAAAAAAAGTTAAAAGCCCCTGCACTGGCTTCCAGTTGATAAAAGAATCCAAAGTACAATTTCTACCATCTGTTATACAAGGGGAGTTCAAGAAGTCTTTAGTCTAAATATGAAGGAATAAAGATACAGCTTTGTAAATTAGCACACGTACTTTAATTTCTCTACATAGTCACCATGCAGAGTAACACATTTGTGCCTCCTCTCTTTGACCTTCAAAAGGCCTTGAGAGAAAAATGACCCAGAATCGGCCCTTAGCTAGTCTTCAAAAGCTTCCACGGCGTCCTCGTTGTCATGGTAATAAAGTCCTTTGAATGAAGTTTTTAAATTTTGAAATAGAAAAAAGTCAAAGGGGTCTAGTGAATAAGTTGGGTGTGGCAGGATTTCAAAGCCGCACTGTTCTGCTGTCTGGACTGATTGTTGTGCCTGTGCACAGGGGCGCTGTCATGCAGTAGGAGGACTCCATTACAAAGTTTTCCACGCCTTTTTCTCACCAACTCAGACCGCAGTTTTATCAGCAAACCCGAGTAGTAGTCTTCTGTGACTGTCTTTCCATTTTCCAGGCAGTCAATCATGATGATACCTCCACAATCCCAGAAACCCGACAGCATGACCTTTCCACTTGCCGGTGTTACTTTTGCCTTCTTTGGTGAGAGAGAAAAAGGGTTTTCCATTGCATGGAGGACATCTTTTGATCTAGATCAAAATGATAAATCCGTTTTTCATCAATAGTAACCATGTTTTTAAAGAAATTTGTGTCATTGGACTCAATTGGAAGGAGAGTTTTGCAGGGCTTCTCTGCTTCTTTTGTTCATTTGTCAAAAGTCGGGATACCCACCGCGCAGACACCTTATTCATGTTAAGGTGGTCTTGGAGAATCGTTTCAGTCGTCCCTACACTGATTCCCATTTCACTTGAGAGCTGTTTAACAGTTATACGTCGGTCATGTAGAACCAGTTACTTCACTATGGATGCATTCTCTTCAGTTACCACAAATGATGGGCACCCTTCACGATCTTCATCCATCACCGACATGAATACAGATTTGAATTTTCTTACCCAGTATGTCAAGGTATTAAAAGGAGGACATTTGTCACCTTAAATTTGGACCATATCCTGAAAAATATTCGAAGGGGATTCTCCTTGCAGTGTAAAAAACGTGATACCTGATTGATACCTGAGCGATATTCAACAGACTCCATGGTACGGCTTTAGCAAAGAAAAACCAAACGTTTTTGTACATGGTATCATCGAACACGCTGACCAGTGCTTTATTATTGTCGGACTTTCTCGAAAATATGCATGGTGTGTTACAAAGAAATTGTCTAAAGGCTGGTGAAATTTCATAAGTCTACCATGATTTCTATACAGCCAGACCGAAGACTTATTAAACTCCCCTTATAACAATAATGTTATTCATGTCCGTCGGAGTTGTTAACCGTCAGTCTCTCGTCCAAATAATGATGATGACGATGGCGACAAATTTAAACATTTTATACAGTTATGTTATTTTGTCTAAAATTCAATCAAGACTCTCCCTCCTACTCTGCTTATCAAACAATGATGATGATGATGATGATGGTGATGATGATGATGATGATGATGATGATGATAATGATGATGATGATGATGATGATGATGATGATGATAATGATGATGATGGTGATGATGATGATGGTGATGATGATGATGATGATGGTTTTTGTGTGTTTTCAGGAACGCGTTTATTGACTGCGCCCACCAGACATTTGTGCACTCCGGCCGAACTGGGGAGATAAAAAGCGTTGCAAAGAGCCTGGTTACTCAGCATAACTTGTAAGTACGACCAGAGGATTACCTGCTCTTTTTTAGTTTTGGAAGAGGGTTGAGGTGTGTGTGTGTGTGTGTGTGTGTGT